TGTACATATGTATATGTGTATGTATATATATATATTTACATATGCACGTACACAGACATACACACAGACACACAGACACACAGACACACAAACACACAGACAGACACAAACACACACACACACACACCCGCGCGCTCTGTCTCCATTCTCTCACTCTCACTCACGCATGCACGAGGCATGCACTGTTGACGTGTGGGCTGCGGCTGGTACTGGAGCTGGTGGTGATCATGCCGATTTCAAGGACCATAGTGATGCTGTTGATCCGATGGCGTGATTCCAGTGAGCACTCGATGTAACGCGCTATTCGCCGCCCTTCTTAATCAATGCATGCTGGCAGCGAGTGAGACGCGAGTGCCAGTGCTGCTACCAGTGTACCAGACGAACGCTCCATCCAGCGACTTTTTGTTTTGGCGTTGCTCGCTTGTTTGCACGCTCTTTACTCTTGACTTGTTGCTGTGTACCCTCTGCCGTGCTTCCCCACTCATTTTCTCTGGAGTCCTTTCCTTTCCCCTCTGCTCAGTTTTGTAGTATAATGTAGTATAGGAGTGTACATCACGCCCGAAGCTATAGTACTCGTGATCTCCTACGATTTTGTGGACGCACCATTTCTTGCACGTGCGGAGTTGCAGCTGGGCCCTTGGGTTTGGTCCGAGAGCTGGGATGGTTCGGCTTGAGGGCTTAAAGGCTGCGAAGGCTTGGAGCTGAGAGTTGAGCAAACAACGGACAGCATGGAGCCTGCGCCCAACACCAAACCAAATCGTCCAAAGCCTTTGACGCCGAAAGCTGCCAAGTTGCATTGCAGTCATCCGCCGATTCTGCCTCTTCGGGAACATCGACCATGTAAACAATGTAGTGCGTCACCTGTCACCGCATGTCCTCGCTTTACACTTTTGGTGCGAAATGTGACCGGATTCGTTTGAACCCGAAGCCCGCAACATCCCGCAATATAGCAACATGCTCCAGCCCCACGAACAAACCCATGTGCTGCCTGCGTGGCATCTGCAGGTTTCTGCCATGCCAAAGTGCCACCAAGGTCATCATAGTCCAGATCGAAATCTGGAAAGGTGACATTCTGAACCAAAGCCTCTCCTCGGAAATTCCGGCACTTGGCATTCGGGATTCTAGCACTTGCGGCTGATGTCGTCAGTGCTACGAACCCTCACTGTTACCAACGCTCCACTGCAGAGACAGGCGCGGTCTAGAAAGTTCAGAGCCACCGGTGTGGTTTGCTCGACCAGCTCAGACTCGGTGTACACCTCGTGAACAGCCGTCGCCGACACCGCCCTGAATAATCACGAACTCTGGTGCTGAAGCGCAATGTCTAGTCAACTACTGTGTAGGACCTGAACATTCTGTTTCCGAACCGTTTCCTCGAACCATGAGTCTGTGAGGCCTCATGTTAGGATGCTAGGCTGCAGGGCTGTGGGGGAGGGTCTGTAGACACAGCCCCGACAGACCACAGGCAGCCAAGACCCGACAACTAATCTCTGCGGAACTGAATTCTTCCGTGTTGCCGCCAGGAAAGCGAAGTCTTGCGACGAGGTATCGGGTGTGAGCCTCGGTTTGGCTCTTGGCATTCTCGCGCCTCTCAGGTCTTGTGGGACTTCTGAGGAACTCCTGAGTGTGCCGGCATTCGGGGTGTTCCTGAATGGGAAGACTTGAACCGTGCAGTGTCATCGTCCACCGGGAGGCGCGAAGCTGCTTTCGGCTGCTTCGACGGTGCCCAAGTGCGAACGACCACCACCTTTCTGGAGCGCAGGGTTCAGGGTGTTGAAGCTGCAGCTAAGGGCCTTCTAATTCGCGAGTTGCAGGTATGCGGGCTAGGCCTAGGCCATCAGGCCGTCTGAATCTAGTCTGTGACAGCCTGGAGGCAGCTTGAAAGCTGAATGATGGCTCGAGACCTGGTGTCTTCCGCCCTTTTTGCCGTGCCTGCTGGATCTGCCGACAGGTACACATTGTAGGACCGCACTCGGGCGTCGTAGGCAGGCTGCAGCCAATAGGTGGTGCCTCACAGGATGCTCTGAGGTTCTGCATTAGCCAGGCAGTCAGGCGCGTCTTTCTCCGTGCTGTCTTGGTTGGGAGAGGTTCTGAAGACTACCAAGTCATCAAGCCTCAAGACTTCAAGAGTCTCTGAACTGTACAACGAAGCCCCAAAAGTTCCCCGACGCCCCTGGAACGTGTCATCGTGTGTCATCCCTCCGCTACGTCACAGCATTGGAAGCCTCCTAGCTCCAAGGCGTCGAGGTCTTTGTCGGTGAATTGAATTCCTGTCGGGAGACTCTCTGGAAACTTGAGGATTCACCGCCATGGGGTTTACGGCGTTACAGTCTCGGGTGAAGCTGTTGGGGCTGTTGCCTTCCGCCCGGTCTCAACTTGCACAGACCAGTCATGACATGAGGCCTGATACGCTGGAGGTCGCGTCAAATATTTTGTGTGCCACCGGGTAGGTCTGTTCCACCAGGCTCGACCGGGTGTAGATGAGCCTGGCATCTCTTGCACACTTGCCAGCTTCAAGCATCAAGCTCCAGGTCAATAGTAAGCCTGCCACTACCGTAGACCTCAAAGGCTGCAACGACTATAATGAGTAGAATCTGAAATTTCTGGCTGCTCAAGTCGGCGCTTGAAAGTGGAGTCAGCCACAGAGGAGGCAAAGACACCAGCACGCCAAAAACGTCTTCACAGTACCCATTAGACATCAGCTACGGGGTGCAGCTCGATAACCAGTGGGTGAAGTTGTTGATGGACGTCTCCGGCTCCACCGTCAAGTTCTCTGTCCCAAACGGGGTCTCGGAATAGTAGGACTTCGCACCTGACAGTGTGGCCATGGCTTTCACGACAAGACAACACGTCATGTCCTACAAGAACGACACTCAGTCCAACGAGACGCGCCTCTGCAACTGTCTGACCCGTTCGCAGTGCCGCACGAAGCGAAGTAGACCTCAACAAACACAGCTCGGCTTGGCAGCCCTCGGCAGCTTCCTTTGATGTTTCTCTCATGAACATACATACAAAGATGCCGAACCAATACTCCAATTGCTCATGTATGTTTGACGTGCTAAAACTGACTCTAGCTACAAGCCTCAGAGTGCAAAACTGCCAGTGCTGGCACGGCTCAAACACTCGAATCTGCATGTTGTGCAACAGCCGTGGAGACGGACCCGGGCCCCTCTGAATGCGCAGTTTCCTGGTCCATACAAATGCTGCCTTGCCACAATGTAAAACTCGACCTCGTCACCTCAGGGCCGGCATTCCCTGCAACAACGTCGAACTGGCCAAATCAGCGGGTGCCATGCTGCTGCAGAGCCGACCACCTTTGCATCAGCAACGTCAATTCACCTTGACCCTCGACACCACAAAACCCTCGAAGAACCCCCGCTGCCCTCAAGTCCAAGCGGCTTCCCCTGGTGCTGGGCCGCTGCCATTCTAAGAGGCCTCCGAGGTCGCCCTCGTCAAGGTCGAAATCAGGGAAGCTGATGTTGGATACCTCTAAGCTGCTTTCACGGCTCATGGGTGTTTGGGGGCAATGTGTATCTCAGCTGCTTGACTGCGTGTTTCAGCGATTCTGCTTCTTCCAGGCTTTGTCTGTGGGCTGGGTGGATGGATTTAGGGACTCTTCTGCTGAATATTTGGCTCACGGATGTTGAGACAGTCCGGCTCAGCTTGGCCTTTTCAGCCCGGAAATGCAAAACAGAGCCTCTCAGCGATGGCATGCACGTGGACAAGGCAGGGCTGTCAACGCGCATGGCGTAGTGTCTGTGCAGAGGTTCCTGCTCTCTTCTGTTGCTTCTTCTGTCCGAGAACACGGCTACACAATGCATTCACACTCCTGGCATGGAAGTTGGAGTATGGTGGGAAGCTACGAATTGCAAGCAACTGGCCGATGCAATGGAGTCCACAATTTTCAGATCGACCGGTGTCCTTGGAATCATGCACACAGATGACACAGGCACCTGTACTGCGAGCATGCACAAACATAGACGGGTTGCGTTTGCTCCGCCAGTGCAGAACGTGTGTACACCTTGGTACTTTCAATCCTTCCAAACATAACGTGCCAGACCGCAACTCAGCTTCCGGCAACAACGTAAGCCTCTTCGGCAATAACAGTCTCCTCCGCCAGCGGGATTTCTAATCCCTTCATGACTCCCTCAATCTTTGCCCTCTTTGAACAACATGTTGGATAATCGCACAAGTCACAGCATCAACGAACATTTGGGATCATTCGGGCCATGATTGCATTGCAATGCCTCTGCTGGCATGTCGAGGAACAAACACATTGCTTCAGGATCCTGCATGGGCTACTTGCCCCAAACTGATCACAGCTGAACTGGAGAACCCCTGACGTTCACCAGTGAGGCATCGAAGCTCACCAAATATAATGCGTTACCTGAAGGGGGCGGTATCTCCAAGCAAAGAGTGCCTGAAATCAAAATCGAGTGATGTAGTTCTGAGGCCATCAAGGTCTACAGTTACTGGGTCGTAGTTCAAGATGCTTCCTGAACGGGTCACCATAGGGCCCCCTGGAAAGCTCGCAGCTTCTGCCACATTCACAGCTGCAGCTAGGCGTCGGGGTCTAGTGCCTGGGTCTCGTTCCCGACAGGCAAACTTGGCCCTACCTCCGCGACGCTGCAACTTGGGACTTCTAGTCAGGAGCATGGGACATTTTTCCATTGTTACATACTCTTTGCAGCTCTCAAGAGTTTCAGGTCGCAAGGGGGATACATGGGACTTGGTGCTCCAATAAGGCGGAAGGCACAAGCTGCGAGGTGCTTTGGCCGAGAGATTTCAGATTCGGGAAGCTTGTGTTGTGCGGCGATCGCATCGCAGGATCAAGATTTGTGTGACCTTTCTTCTGCTCTCATGAGTCTCCTTCCTTGTCATCCACTCGGCACTTGACAAGGTAAGGAAGCCCAAGAAAGCGCAGAAGGCCAAAGGGCACAAACAGCATGAACAAACTGCCCTGGACAAACAGGAAACTTTCGGGGCTTGACTGCCCTTGAGATGAACCGATGAACCCTAAAGCATTTGTTCTTCTGGCTGCAGCGGTTGGCGAGACCTATCTCCCCGTAAGCCTGGGATCTCGCCATGCCAGTGGGGCTCAATGCCAGGGTGAGAATGTAGTCCTGTGGTCGGGACGACTAGAGGAGGAGGTTTGGACGAGTCAAACCTCCGATCTTGGTTCTGCTAACATCCAACACCTCTCAGAAAACAACCACAGACCAAGTCCAGAATCTTAAGCCCAACTGCACCAACCCATGCCAACCCTGCACCCTCTCGAAGCTGACACCTGAACCCTGACGCCTGAGTGCAGCTGTCCTGGACGCGACTGCTGTCGAAGGGTGGAAGCCAGTAGATCTGCCCTCCGATTTCAGTTTCATCCAAGTCCTGGTCTTGGAATCTTATGTCTGAGGCGCTCGCGTTCATGTCCTCGGATGTTTCTGACATTTTAGGGCTCTGGATCGGGGCTCGCACTTTGAATCGTCGACATTTTTCTCAGATGGGTGGAGGATTACCCAGATCCCAATTGCTGAAAATCTTACATAATAAGCTGATCGAGTTGCGAAGATTTCGTGCTCCGCTGGCAGGCTTTGCTCGGCCAAGGAAGAATTTGCATACACCAAGTAATGGGAGAAGTTGCCTTAGGCAGTCTTCACAGACTCTAACCGAAAATCCGGACCTCAATGCGGAGCCGGAGTATCTGAGCCCTGATCCAGTAATCTCGAGAGCACACGGTGTTCAGAAAGACCCAGCGACACCACTGATCATGGTGACTAGAGCCATATTATATTGCGACAACACTGAGCGACTTCACTCCAGCTGCGGCTGCAACGACTCCGGAGATCATACTACTCGGGCACATTCTAGCACAGTTGCGTATGGGCGTCTCGGGAGGGACCACCAATTCGTCCAGTCCTGGAAACGTCTCATCATGCACAACTCCGACATATTTGTTTGTCCGGTACGTCTTTGAGGTGGCGCTGGCTGTCAATGCAACCGACGGCATCAGAGAGCATGTCTGTGCAGCAAACATGTTCTACTTTCTGGATGCTTCTCACCGCCTCAATTCCTAGCATCTGGCCTTGCCGCACTGTCCCGAAGAACTCGACATCACAAAAGACCTGCGACATGGCTTGTTGGGTGCTTGCTTGCCGCCACAATCGCAGGCTTTCCTTTCCTTCCACTCACTTGCGCTGTAGAAGTCACGGCCCGACAATCAACATGGAACAACAAAAGAAACATTGGACGTGATTTACGTGATGCTCTCCTCAGCGGAGGCACGCGTGCGGAAACTGAACTCAATCATGCAAGTCGCGTCGGAAACATCAGAGATGACCGTCGCCATTGTCCTGGGGTGCTCGGCAAAGACACCGTGGTTTGAGGTCCAAGCGCAATGCCCAGTTCAGACTTTGGACCTCAACACTTGGAGGCCACGTCAGGTGATACCAGCTTGGCTAGCCATGCCTCCACCGAATGGTCATGTTTGCTGTCGAGAATCGAATTCACGCTTTCGGCAAACTCACCCTGAGAGCACCTGCCCAAGGCCAAGGTGAGGCGTGAATTTTCAACGAGCTGATGTGCAGCGAAGTCTGTGTTAGCTTCAATCCCCTGCCTCCTTGCAAAGTACACATTGTAGTGCTCGACCTGTGAAGCAGGCATTGGCTGGCTAGTCCCCTTGGTGCAGCGACCAGAACAGTCTCCGCCGGTTCGCTCTGTCTGGCTGGCTGCTTAGGGTCTAGCTTCTGCAGAGCACACATCCCGAAAGCTTGGCCCAATATAAAACAGGATGTGGTACATGAGTGAAGCGCATCGCCTGGCTCGTGTCCGTTGGCTCCGACCAAGTCAGGATGCCACCGAGGTCCGAGGCATCCAAGTCGAAGTCCGGGAAGCTCACATTCTCGACCACCTGAAAAGCATTGATTTTGGCTCTTCTCTGCAGCTTTTGGAATCTAGACAATTAAAGGGGCTTCAGAAGGAAAAATTAAAGGTTCACCTCACGTGGCCCCTAGGAAGCTTCTTTGGTGGCATCTATCCATCTGTCTACCATGTAAGATGACCGACAGCGCGAGCTTCTCCGTCCAGTCAACTCTCCCGAAGCTCATCCGAAGCTGAGAGATGGACTGACACTGCGTCTGAGAACTGCAGTGCCACCGGCGTCGACTGCTCAGCCTGGTTCACAAGGGTCAGCTGGTCCCTTGACTTGGGAGAATTCGACGTCCCATATCGTCCCATGCTGCACACATCTACCGAAGGTAGGGAGAGGGGTGGCCAGGTAGGCCAACGGAGATGTGCAAACAAGAGAGACAATAGTGACGACCAGTGCATCTCTTCGAAGCTCAGAAAGCTCCAAACTCAAATTCAGCATCCCACTGCATGGATACGCTCAGCATGCATGGAAGCTCAGCATCCATGAAATCATTGGTGGTCCCCTGAGGGGTCGGCCAAAGAGGAGCGGGTGAAGACTGTGATGAAGGCTCTGCCGCCAGTTTTGGTCTCCGCAGGAATGCTCCTCTCAATATATAAACGTTGGCAACCATGACAAAATGTTCTCAGGGTGCCGCATGTAATAAGTTTCTGTATGGCTTCGATATTATGACAACGCGGCAATGATGTCATTTCACATCGTCTCATGCCATTAGTCTTGTCAGCTTATGTCACAACCAGGATGTTCAAGAATCAGACTATATAGTCTAGATAATGCGCATGTCTGGACGGTGTAGCTTGCCGCAGCTTTGGGCCATAGGTGTCCACAGGAGGCGGAGTTGCTTTTTTCTTTATGAAGGTGTGGCTTACCAGTTTTGTTGTGTAAGACGTAGCTGAGCCCTGTATTGTTTCAAGCATTGGGGTGCCTCCGGCAAGTTACTGTAAAATTTTAACTTGCACAGATCGTGTTGGCGTAGCTGTTGTATGGATTTCTTTCATGTACTCCACAAACAGTAAGTACTAATCCTACCAGTAGTACTAGGTCGTATCCAAAGCTGCAGCAGGAGTCGTAGTAGCAGTAGCAGTATAGCAGTAGCAGGCAGTACTGGAGCAGTCGCGGAAGCTGTCGTCGCGGTAGGAGTAGCAGTGGTGGTGCTGGTGGTAGTAGTACTAGTACTAACAGTAGTAGTTCTAGACGAAGAAGAAGCAGTCTTTGTTGTCGTCTTCGTAGCGTACTGGTGGTGGTGGTGGTGGTGGTGGTGGGTGGTGGTGGTGGTGGTTGGTGGTGGTGGTGGAGGTGGTGGTAGTAGTAGTAGTAGTAGTAGTAGTGGTAGTGGTAGTAGTAGTAGTAGTAGTAGCAGTAATAGTAATAGTATAGTATTAGCAGTATCAGAATTAATAGTACTAGTGCTGATAGAAGCATAGCAGACTAGTATTACAGCAGTAGAAGTACAATACTTGTATGGTAAAATAACCCCTCGAAGACAGAAACGGATTGTGCTTTGCTGTTCTGGAGGCCGCCGGCGGGCGTCGGAGGCCTTCGCATGGTACCCCTTACAAAGCGCACATGAAAAGGAGGTGCATTTTGCAACGTTGGAGCTGGGTGGCGCATCTCCTCCACGAGGTCGACGATGTCCAAAGCCCGCGCTCGATCCGGGCAGACTGGGACTGAAAGGCGGTCGTCATTGTCGTCACTCGCCGGGTCCACGTCAACCGCTCGCTTGTGGTGGGGGGCTGGGACGACGTCATCTGCCAGTGTTTGAGCCGCAGAAGCGACTGCCACGCCGGCGCCGCGGCCGGCCGTGGACAGGGTCGCGGTCGATGCACGCAAGCTCGGCGTGGATGGAGGAAGCGGAGAATGGGGGATGGCTGCGAAGCAGGCGCTCGCCGCAACGCACCGGCCAGGTCTGCAAAGCGCACACCGGTTTGGGGATGGCCTAGCCAGGCATGTGTGGCAGCCTGTGTCAGGACACCCGCACCCGTGTGGAGAAGTGGAGCGAACATGCAAGACTTCGTGGGGTGGGCAATCATCCTGCCAGCATAACGGCACGCGGGCGGGAGCAGGCAGCAACGCCGGCGAAGCAGGTGGTGTGAACCTTGGGTAGCATCACCTGGTTCAGCCGGCGCCGCTTCTCCCCGCTCACGGGGCTACGCGAACGGCGTCCGCTGGCTGAGTGTGTCGGACAACGTTTGGTGTCTCTGGATTTAATGTAGAGTTTC